CAGCTATTTAGAACAGACTGCTGAAATCTCCCAAGATACTCATCTTTAAGGCTGGTTAATGCAAACCCTGTACCCTTTAAACCCCTTAGATGAAATTGGCCATGTAGTTACGGAGACAGTGGAGGTTGGAGCAACCTAAGATTGTCATATTCAGAGGCTAGAGATCAAGACCAAATACCTACAAAATAAGGTGAAAGATTTCAGAAGTTACAGGAAACACTGAACTTTTTTCTTCTTCTTGGATCCTGAATCAAGAAGAACAAGATGACATTTGAAAACTTCCTGGATTAATGTGTTGTGCCCAGACTAGTAAGTGCTGGCATCTAAAAAAGTGTATTAGTCACATAGAATCACAGACTAATAAAACTCTTTTAAAAAATACTTTTTATTCAAAAAGAAAAAAATAGTTACACAAGTCATAGTCCAACACCCAAGGCACTACATCAGACTGGCTCTGCAAATATATATGTATTATATATTCTAATATATAGAGAAAGGAGGGCGGCCCCTTCTACACTGCCATATAAAATCCAGATTATCTGCTTTGAACTGGATTATATGGCAGTGTAGACTCATATAATTCAGTTCAAAGCAGATAATGTGGATGATCTGATTTGATAATCTGGATTATATGGCAGTGTAGAAGGGGTCAGAGAGAGTGAGAGAGGGGGAAGGTGGATCTAAACGGCCCTATATCTCAGAATCTGATTTCAGAGTATCTGTTTATTCCAGATTATCTGGCAGTGTAGACTCATATGGCCCAGCTCAAAGCAGATAATCTGAGATCAGACCCTGGGATATAGGGCCATGTAGATCCAGACATATTCCTTATTCAAAATGCTTGGGACCAGGAGTGTTTGGGATCTTGGGTTTGTTTTATTTTGGAATACCTTTGTTTACACATATATATTTATTCATATTAGATAGATAGATAGATAGATAGATAGATAGATAGATAGACAGATAGAAGATGACATCCAAATCTAAATACAAAATTAATTTATATTTTATTTTCCCATTGTACTTATATCCTGAAGATAATTTATTAAATTATAATAATTTTGTACATGGATCAAAGTCTGTCAACATGAAACCATTGTACATGGGTCAAAGTCTGTGGACGTGAAACAATTTAGGATTTTGGAATATTTTAGATTTCAGAATTCCAGATGGATGCTCAATATGTATTGAAAATAAGTTTTTAGAATTAAAAAAAATCAAAGCTGTCCTCCTTCATTCTTTCTCAGTGTCGATTTTATTTTTAAATTTTACTCCTAGAGACTTATTCATTGACTAAATTTTTGGAAATTGTTGTTGGACCCTGAGGATTATAGGACATGCTTCTAAGGACTACCTGTAAAAAATGTTGACAGAACCATGGCTTGTCAGCACAACTGGATCCCTCTTATTAGAGACAGAGAAGAATCTAGGATGGATTTACACCAGCCAGATTGGTGACATGGCTTTATTCTATTTACCCCAAAGTGACTGAACTTTGGGTTTCTTTTAATCAGAACACCAATTCTGGTTAAAGTATTGTATCCAAAGTTATTGGTCAACTAAGACAGCAGCAAATGTCAGCAACATCAGATTTGAGAGGGCCTTTTCTGCATCAAGTATGCATTGGTTGAAATGGGGCTAATAGGCATAACAGCAATGTCAGCTTTGTCACCTAGGGGCACAGTCTCTGCATGAAGACAATAACAGCCAATTAGGCAAACAGAACTTTACCTCCCCCACATCTTTTTCACTTTTGCTCATTTATCCAATGCATGCACAAGGAATTTCTGGGAAACCTTTGCAAATTCATTCTATCTCAGTTCTAGCATTTGCCAAGACAAAACATTAATACTATGTGGCAGGTTTATGCCATTGTCATGGCTAACTCCGCTGATAGACTTTGTGGGTTTCTAGAGTTACAATTTAAAAGCACGTCAAGAATTACTCATTTTTATTATACTCCATAAGCTAATTGTGAACTCAATAAAACTATCTAATTGTCCATCCTGAATATCCTGTCATGTTGGTCTCAATTTTCCATATTTTTCTTAACTGGATGCTTTCAGAGACATCTGTCTTACAGAATTGGTGAAAGAAGAGTCAAAAAGGAGCCAAGGGCGAAGGACAAGTCATGTCACAGCTAGATCTCCATCTAGTCTTTTTGAACAAGACGTATGTGCCACTGAGTAGCATATGACCCTGCTGGTGCTACTTTCACCAGGACATCATTAGTAGACAGATGCAATGGAGTAGGAGGTAGAGCCTGCTGTTGTTGCAGATGTTGCTTCTGTTGTTGTTGCTGCTGCTACTACTACTAAGCACACTTTCCGAAAGCGTTCAGAGTGTTGTATTGCTCACTTCCTAAAGTGAGGCCACCTGTCATGCCTAGGTTTCCTAATTATTTCCTAGTGTTGGAAGCAAAAACAGTCTGTAAACCTAAGGCACATGTCACAAGGTGTTGTAGACCTTATGCCACAAAACTATGCTACAATAAATTCCACGGAGAAACTGATTTGTGTGCCTTTAAAACCTGGACTTGAAATTCTAGGTGTGATTTAGGCCCCTTCTACACTGCCCTACATCTCAGGATCTGATCCCAGATTATCTGCTTTAAACTGGATTATATGAGTCTACACTGCCAGATAAGAAGATAATCTGGGATCAGATCCTGGGATATAGGGCAGTGTAGATGCAGCCCTAGAGGAAGGTCCAATTTAAAACTCTTATGAATGATTGAGAATCTGAACATTGGATCCATGAGTAATGTAGGGTATGGATTCCATTATTATTGATAAAAGCATGTCTCTTAGATTTCAGCATGTTTTGTATATCTCAGGAAAAAATCACTTAGGCCCCTTCCATATAATCCTGATTATCAAAGTAGACAATCCACATTATCTGCTCTGAACTGGAGTATCTGATTATCATATAATCCAGTTTTTGTTGTTTTTGTTTTTTTTTGTCGTGTCAGGAACACTAGAGAAACTGCAAGTCGCTTCTGGTGTGAGAGAATTGGCCGTCTGCAAGGACGTTGCCCAGGGGATGCCCGGGTGATTTGATGTTTTTATCATCCTTGTGGGAGGCTTCTCTCATATCCCCACATGTGGAGCTGGAGTTGATAGAGGGAGCTCATCTGCCTCTCCCCGGATTTGAACCTGCGACCTGTTGGTCTTAAGTCCTGCTTGCACAGGGCTTTAACCCACTGCGCCACCGGGGGCTTCATATAATCCAGTTCAAAGCAGATAATCTGGATTTTAATTACAGTAGGAATGTCCTCAAAAGGTAAGAAAGAAGCAAAAAAGACTTCAGTCTTTTGTAACAAAAACAAAGGTGAAAAGACAAAGGTGAACAGCTCCAGGAATAATGCGTGCAGATCCAAGTAGGTTGGCTTTTTTCAACAGACAGATGGTGATTTTGTCAGCGCCAATTGTGTTTAAGTGCAGGCCAAGGTCTTTATTATTATTTTATTATTATTATACTAGCCGTCCCCTGCCACACGTTGCTGTGGCCCAGTCTGTGTATATGTGTTTTCATAGAATCATAGAATCAAAGAGTTGGAAGAGACCGCTTGGCCCATCCAGTCCAACCCCCTGCCAGGAAAATCGCATTCAAAGCACCCCTGACAGATGGCCATCCAGCCTGTTTAAAAGCTTCCAAAGAAGGAGCCTCCACCACGCTCTGGGGCAGAGAGTTCCACTACTGAACGGCTCTCACAGTCAGGAAGTTCTTCCTCATGTTCAGATGGAATCTCCTTTCTTGTAGTTTGAAGCCATTGTTCCGCATCCTAGTCTCCAGGGCAGCAGTAAACAAGCTTGCTCCCTCCTCCCTGTGGCTTCCTCTCACATATTTATACATGGCTACCATATCTCCTTTCAGCCTTCTCTTTGTGTGTGTATATATGTGTTTATGTGTATGTGTTTATATTTGTGTATATATTGTGTTTGCATACACACACACTAGCTGTCCCCTGCCACGCGTTGCTGTGGCCCTCATGGGGGTTTCTGTGTGGGAGGTTTGGCCCAATTCTATCATTGGTGGGGTTCAGAATGCTCTGTGATTGTAGGTAAACTATAAATCCCAGCAACTACAACTCCCAAATGTCAAGTTTCTATTTTCCCCAAACTCCACCAGTGTTCACATTTGGGCATATTGAGTATTTGTGTAGTTTGGTCCATATCCACCATTGAGTCCACAGTGATCTCTGGATGTAGGTGAACTACACCTCCAAAACTGCCCACCAAACTCTTCCAGTATTTTCTGTTGGGAGAACTGTGTGCCAAGTTTGGTTCAATTCCATTGTTGGTGGGGTTCAGAAGGCTCTTTGATTGTAGGTGAACTATAAATCCCAGCAACTACAACTCCCAAATGACAAAATCAATTGTTTTAAGTGAAGGACATACATTGGGTTGTTAGGTGTCTTGTGGCCAAATCTGGTGTCAATTCGTCCAGTGGTTTTTGAGTTCTGTTAATCCCACAAACGAACATTACATTCAGGAGAGAATGCCTCTAGACCAGGGGTCCTCAAACTTTTTAAACAAAGGCCAGGTCACATTGAGTGAGACATTATTTAGAAAAATAAATTTCCCAATTATTACAAGTCCCAGAAGCTCTGTCTATAGAAGACTGCTGCTGCATAGAGAAAAAAATGATTGTTCTCTGTGTTCTTTGTTCAACCAAGATACAAGCAAATGCACTCCCTTACTCCCTAAAAGTCTTTCAGCCATGGATAATCAACTTGCAGATAGATAAGCCACAGCTCATGCTGTGATGTTAGAAACAGAAGAACCAATCAGAAGTTGCTTGCTTGTTGTTTTTACAAGTTTGATTATAAAAACATTGTTAAGTGCGCCACAAAGGGTGAATAGTTTTTTGTTCTTTGACGGGGTGGTCAAAGGCTATTCATCTCATGTTGATCAACTTGAAATAAAAGCCTTGTTGAAAAACCTCATCGGAATCTCATCTCCTCCCTGCCCTCTGGGCCTGTCACCCTAAATTCCCAGCTTCTAACGGACTTCCGGTTGGTCACCGCTTATGGAGGACACGCTTCTGTGAGCTCCTGAGTGAGACACAGAAGGAGGCTTGTTTTGATAGCTTTGGGGGCTACAAACGCAACCCAACCTTCATCCGACGGACTGAGGTCGTGGAGGCGAGACCCCAGGGCACCATCGGCCGACGGCTTCTAAGAGGCATCCCCCTCAAGGGGGTGTCCAAAGACGCCCGGCAACGAGGTGCGAGGGGTGAGCACAAATCAAAGCCGGAGCGAATGGCTTCAACGCTCCATGGTGACTGGCACAAAACGAAGAAAGAAAATATCGAACCTTTTCTTTAACAAAGCAGTGGTCAGACAAGAGGCTTAAAGCTGACAAGAGAATAAGAAACAAATAAGAAACAAAACAAAATTCCGGAGCTATGATAAAATCCGAGACAATGACAGTGACAACGACCAAAAGCAAGGTAAGGGGAATCAACGCTCATTTATAAATTGCAAATTGCAAATTGGATCCAAGAAGAGTATAGAGAGGGGGCGGAAAGAAAGAGAAAGAACGCAGGAAAAGAACAAGAAGGGGGAAAAAAAAGAATCCTTAAAAGAAAGACAGAGGTCCCAGATCGCAGCCGGGTAGAGCCAAAAAAGGGGCTCCCTCCCAACCGGGACAGCATAACCCATACCTTGGACCGACGAGAGACCCCCTCAAGGGTCGATCGGTAGGTCCCCTTAGGTAAGGGTATAGCGGGCTGGAAAAAGACCATCAAGGGATCAAAGGAACACCAAAGGGAAAAAACAAGGGGATTAGAATTAGAATCTCCACAAAAAAGGATTCAACATTCCACAAGGTTTTCAGAAGACCCTTTATTAGGACGCCCCTTCTCTTTAGGCTTTTATTGAGAAATTCTAAATAAGAAATCTCAAAGGGGACAGCATACCCATTCTATACTAAAGCATTAGCTGACCTTGAACAAGAGCTTCCAAGTTGTGACGGGGAACAAGGCGACGTCCTTGGGAAGGCGGAGGAGAGGCAGATAAGAAGAAGGGACACCATGCGCGTGGCAGCGTGAAGGGAGGAGAAGACGGGAATATACCTCGCGAGATTTGGCGAGAGGAACACAAACGAGAGCCTGCCCCTCACGCGAGAAGTGGAGAACGTGTAAGAACGCAACTGACGCAAGACGTAAGGACGCAGCGACGCAACAGTGTAAACAAGGGAAAGAAGGAAGAATTGCCAGATTTAAAGAGACGGAAAGCGGAAGACAGGGTAAAGTCAAGAAAGAAGCAGCGCGAGCAAGAAAACGCAAGAAATAAAGGAGGAGAGAGATAAGAAGCATTAGAAAGGACTCAAAGGGACT